ACATTTCCGTTCGGCTCTCTCCCAGATCTCGCTCGTCACTCTCCCGAACCTCGCTCGCCACCCTCGTCTCTACGCTTATACAAACAGAAAGGAAATGTATAAATTGTGTTTTATGTTTGTATAAAGTGAGAGAAAATTGTATATACACTTGCAAATACATATATCTTCATCCTATACACTTACAGTTATACAATACAAATATTCCCCTGCCCAATTTTCTTTTGTCTTTCTCTCTTTCTTGTTTTATACATACACAAATTATACAATTGATTTTTATGCCACTACTTTCTTTTATATATGTATAGCGAATCATGCAATTAATTTTTTTTATATGTATAGCGAATTATACATATTTATGTTTGCTATGGAGCGTAATTATGCAAATTTTACTATAACATACAAATATAAATTTTGTGTTTGCTTATATGTGAAAGTTGCTCTTCTTTAAAGGAAGAAAATGCATAAATTAATATAATTTAAAAATAATTACTGATTTTAGCAATACATTTTGTTTATTATAATTTATAGCAATATTGTGATAAATCTGTAATATGTATTAAAAGCGAATTACGTATGCAATGTATTTAAATTATAATTGTTTCTGAAATATATTATGTTTGTTTGGTAAAAAATTATCACATTGTATTATAAGTGTGTGATAAATGTATTATCCATCATTAAAACTTGTATTATATGTGAATAATAAATTGTTCTTTATATTAAACTTGTATTGTAAATAAATTAAAAATGATCAATTGAAAAAAAATTATTGCTATAAATGATTAATATTTTTTTATTATAGTATATTTGCGTAAGTTTCCGTCTTTAAAGCCATTTTGCCCCACTTGTTGAATCAATTTCTGAGCCCAATTCCCATTCCCAGCCCAACTCTTTTCGGCCCATTCCAAATCCAAAACACCCGTTTTCTTCTTCTTCTTCCTTGTGAAGAACAGAATGGCGAACCCAGCTACCAAATCGACCCGAAATCCGCAAAGCTGACAACGTCAACATCATCGGCAGCTTCTAAATCCCTTTTTTCTTTCCTTGTTCGTGGGATGCCGGAATTTGCAGAAGTTCGTCGGAGTTTTTAGATGGATCATTCGTCTCAGAACGCAAGGGTAATATTCATTTCTGTTCGTATTTTTTTGGTTTCATGATGTGCTGGACATGGTCATTTGATTCTACCGTATGTATGAGGCATTCAAATATTATAATTTTCAAATTGTTTCCACTTTGTTTTACGACAATCTGTTGTGAATTTTGTGCTTGTTTTTGTTTCAATTTACATGTGTTTGCAGATATATGAAGATACCTCTAGTTTCCTTATTTGTAATTGCTCCTTTTGCCCCTCTTTACAATGGCTAGTGTTACTTTGACAGTATATATATATATATATATATATATCGAAACCTTTTGTAATCACTTCTTTTGCTCCTCTTTAATTTATGTGAATCAGTTCTACACATCATTGTTACCTTCTCCTTTATTAATTAGGTGACAAGTGTTGAAGTTCTTGAAGATTCATTAGTGTCACAGTTGATGCAGATATGTAGTTACCACTAAAAATTTGATCACTGTCCCTCTGTTTACAATGTCGAAGAGTGGTGAGGTTTCATGGAAAAGTGAGAATTTGGGAAAGCGGAGATGGACTTTCGTGGTGTTCCTTGGGATACTGATACTTCATGGATTGGCTATTTTCGTCTTCACCAGAGGATTCCTCCTAACTCGCACTGAACTTTCACAATATAGTCACTGCTCTGATATTCAACAATCTCCATGCTTCTCTCCTCCTCAAGATGATCAAATGGTTAACCATTCCAAAGGGTGCTGGACGAAACCGGCTGTTGATCGAATTGTTATCATTGTTCTTGATGCTCTCAGGTATGACTTTGTTGCTCCAAGTACCTTTTTTGATGAGAAAAAACCGTGGATGGACAGATTGCAGGTGTTGCACAAGTTGGCATCTCAGCCAGGTTCATTTGCTAAGATCTTTAAAGCTATTGCTGATCCTCCTACAACCAGTTTACAACGTCTAAAGGGATTAACAACTGGTGGGCTTCCAACTTTTATTGATGTGGGTAACAGCTTTGGAGCACCGGCTATCATTGAAGATAATTTAATTTATCAGATGGCTAAGAATGGCAAGCGAGTTGTGATGATGGGGGATGACACGTGGGTTCAACTGTTTCCTCAACATTTTAATATATCTCATCCGTTCCCTTCATTTAATGTTAAAGACCTTGACACGGTAGATGATGGCTGCGTTGAACACTTGTTTCCATACCTGTATCAAGAAGATTGGGATGTACTTATAGCACATTTTCTTGGCGTGGATCATGCCGGACATATTTTTGGTGTCGATTCCACTGAAATGATAGAAAAGTTGGAGCAGTACAATGGGATTTTGGAGAAAGTTGTTGATGTCCTGGAAAGCCAAAGTGGACCTGGCGGGTTACATGAAAATACACTGCTTCTTGTGATGGGTGATCATGGGCAAACCATCAACGGTGATCATGGTGGAGGTGCTCCAGAAGAGGTTGAAACATCGCTATTTGCTATGAGTTTGCAAAAGAATCCGTCTTCCTTACCGTCTGAAACTGATAGCTCATCTTGTCGACTTGACATGGAGAAGAGAAAGATATGTACTAGCTCCATTGAGCAGCTTGACTTTGCTGCAACAGTATCTGCTCTGCTTGGCATTCCTTATCCTTTTGGAAGCATCGGGCGTGTTAATCCTGAACTGTATGCATTAGCTGCTGGTACTTGGAACTTGGACATCTTTACCCCTGAAGGTGGAATAAATCTCTCAGGATCAGAAAGGTGGATGCAGAACTACGTCAATGTCCTCTGCATGAATACATGGCAGGTGAAAAGATACATTGATGTATATTCAGCTTCATCAGTGATAGGATTTTCAGACAAAGATATGTCTCATGTATCGAACCTCTATGCTCAGGCCCATGATAATTGGTTACATACCAAAGAAGCTGTTTTGAATTGTAAAAGTGAAAGTTGTTCAACATTGTTACCTCAACTGAAGAAGCAAGTGGAAGCTTATTCTAATTTCCTGTCAAGTATTACTGCACTTGCTCGTTCCAAATGGACAGAGTTCAATCTAAAGATGATGGGCACTGGTTTATGCATCTTGGTGCTCTCTCTTTTTGTTCACATTTTTATCATCAAGAAGTTGGACAAACTATGCAGTTGCTATCTTCCTTGTGGTGGAAATTTTGTAGTTTCTTTTGAGGCTATTTTTGCTTATGCTGCGGTGCTGATTCGTTCTTTCAGTTTTCTTTCAAATAGTTTCATCTTGGAGGAAGGTAAAACAGCAAGTTTTCTGTTGGCCACGGCTGGAATGCTTCAGTTACGTCATGCAATAGTAAAAAAGAAGATGTTTCTTGAAGGACTTCTTTTTGTTCTGGTGGTTCCTCTTCTCAGATTTGGTATTGAACTGGGACAGTCAAAGCAGGCTGTCAATTCTTTATTTTTGAAGTCATTTGCTTCATGGACTGTAAGCGTTGACAACGGCACCAACTTATGGATTTATGTTGCTGATATCTTGCCCTTTTTAGCTCTTGTCATTTTAGCTTATATACTTTATTACAAGAGCATCAGGCACAGTTCTTGTCGGGGGATATTCAAGTTAGTTGCCGTTGGAACCATATTTGCTTCTTCTCTTATAGCTTTGGCTTGGGCTTTAGATGGTAACTTATTCAGCCCTAGCACAGTTATTGTGGATATAAAAGCATATTGGATTCCTCGGATCATCTATGTTGTTGGTCTTCTGCAATTATTTTTATTAGCGATATCTCAACTTTTTGGTAAAGAGAAGACTTCAGGTTGGGAGGAAGGTACAATTGTTAAAGCAACTGCCATGTTATCAGCATGGAGTTCAACAATAATCATTTTGTCCGGGAAACAAGGTCCTCTAGTTGCTCTAGCAGCAGTAATTCAAGGGTGGTGTGTAATTAGGTTGATGACGTTGGAACGAGCAAAAAATGACTATAACGACAGTTCAACTTCATATTCTTCTCCGGTGGCAAAATGGAGTCTTTTAGCTGTGTGTCTGTTTTTCTGCACTGGACATTGGTGTGCCTTTGATGGCCTCCGCTATGCTTCCGCATTCGTTGGGTTTGATGAATTCAACCTTATTCGTCAAGCAGCCCTGCTTACCATAGATACATTTGGTTTCTCCCACATTCTTCCAGTAATGGGACTTCCACTTATTGTTGCTTGCCGACGACATCCAGAAGTCCAGGCTGAGAAAAGGAAACCACTGTTTTTTCTCCAGTTATGCCAGGTGTATTTGATGTACGGACTTACTATGGCTATATCTATGACATTTACAATTATATGTGTTACTATTCAAAGGCGACACTTGATGGTATGGGGTTTATTTGCTCCAAAGTTCGTCTTTGATGCTGTGGGTCTTCTTCTTACAGACCTCTTCATATGCCTTGCATCACTGTACTATTTTACATGACCAAATAAATTAGATGAAGTATTAACCGTTATGTATGGAGGTGAACATTCAGCAATTTCATCGGACAATGTTACAAAGTTCTTCCGTTAACATCAGTATATCGTCCTCGCTAAGGTAACTCCCATACAATTGCATCGGAATGTAGTTCATTATTGGAAAGAGAAGAAAAGTGAAGATAGTAGAGTAACATTTTGTTACATCCTAATTTATTGTCAGATTTTGGTTGATTGATTATAGATTTATAGTTACCATTTAAGGCTTTGGCCTTAAGTGGGTAAATTTTGATGGATTACTAAAAGGTTATATTGAGGTTAGATTTTTTTTTAGCTGGGGCAAAAACACCAGGCTTGGTAGTTGTACTATGTTTCATTTTATTCAAAAGAACATTTTCACTCAGAAACTGAGCTCTTCTACTTGAGTTATTTCTGCTATTTGCCTCCTGTCTTTGAGTGTTTGAACGTTATCCTTTCTTTCAGTGACAGACAATAAGCACCCATTGCTTATCTAATAACAAATATTGAACTATTCAAACTGAAATCCATTTAGAGAAGCTTCTGGACTGCTCAACCTCAGTTAAGTTGAGTAGAGTTGTTTCAACATAAATGTGTCAGGGGTCGAAAGCAACCCCCAACGCCATTCTACCACAACGGCCTCTCAAGAGTTACACCAGAAAGTACTAAAAGAACAGTAAACACAGAGATCGCTAATACAAAACTACAACTTATATGCAGTGGCAACGAAAATCTCATTCTTGTGACACCTGAAGTTTGAGTGTAACAAATTGAATACAGATGCCTCCGGTCCAGATAACCCAAGTCTCCGAAACAAGCCATACCTGACATCTTCAACTATAGGACTTAATGCATGAGCAGGATCGTATCTCGTCTGATGAGTCAATGAAGGACCAGCCACAGGTAGAAGCTAGCTCCCAGTAAAATCTAAAATTGACTCTACAAACCTACTATTTTAAAAATGTTCTGCATAAGAATTGGCCTAATTGCTGTGGTTAAAGTCATCCTGCATCTGCCCTCTCATACCCGGACCGTAAAGTTCATCAATATCAACAGCCTTCTCCCAAAATTTCTTCCTTCTTGCTCTGATCTTTCCTTCATCACTGTCCTTAAAGCAGCTATGGCCTCCACATGGAATGAAATTGGAAAACATGTCATGTAGTAAGAACTAAGTAGTGCACTGACTATAAAGTCACAAATTGAAAAGACATTCGATATAGCGAACTGGCATGCTCTAAGCATAGCATAACAAATCTACTCATATTACTTGGAATTTCACTCGGATCAGAAAACTCTGCAAACAAAATTTTGGCAGCCATTGTTCTGTTCTTTTTATAGAGGATTTTGCAATTCTGGTTGTTCTTCGTCTTGTGAGACTTGGTGAGTTCATCTATCTCTTCTATTATTTTAAATTTAGTTCTAATATGTGTTAGTCGAGTCAAGGGGTAAATTGTTCTATGTAAGTCACGTGAACGAGCTCGAGCTAGAAAGCCAATAAGTGGTTTGGAACTTGACACCTCTATTATGGAAGTCCGAAGCCAAACCATCTTAGCCATCCTGAATTTTCTTGGTTTTATCTATTGTTTATTTGTTTTTTATAGTCCTTAGCATAGCGAATGAAGTGGACATGAATGTTATGTTAAAAAGTTAGTTATATACATCACTGATCTGGGTAATCGAGATGTAGAAAGGCCCTTTAGTTCAATTATGGAATTTGCTTCCGGATTCTTCTGTCAGTTCACATATTTGATTATTGACATCCATCAGCCTGTATAACTTAAAATTTTTCTGTGCTGGTGCTCTGACATGTTAGTTTTCCAAGTCCTACCAATGTTCTTTTTGGAATATAAATTACTGGAAAGTCATACCTAATAGAGTTGGATTTGTTTAGTTCATGTGCAATTTCTGCATTAATTGATTTCTCCTCTACTAGCTGCTGGTTACAAATTCACTCTTTAACTGCAACAATCGAAACATGCTCATCTCTTGGTAGATGATCATTAGTAGACTGGTCAGTTGCTAATGTGTTTAAAATCCCAGTTTTTGCTGAAATAGATGATATCACCTTTCTTAAGAGACTGTAGCAGACAACTCGGAGCAGACATGCCTGTGTCTCTTCAAATTTGGACCTACAGTCCTCAAATGAGTAAGACTGTCACAAATTTGAAAGGTTTAGATTCTTGGTCCTAAAGAATCCTAACCATGGCTACTGATGACTTCGGCTTACTATTAAAAGTTCCCTGATCTCCACACTTGATAACCATAGAAGATGTGTGGATATGGAACGACTTCAATAATTAGAGATGAAATAAGAGTTAAGATGTGTCAGTGTAATACCATACATTGAAATAAGGTCATTTTTGTCTTCTGATTTTTTTTTAAAAGAAGAGGCAGATTGTGGGTTTGTTTTAATGACCAACACGTTTTAAAAAAAAGGGGAATAGCGGGCTAAAGGGTCCAAAGATGCGAAGGGTTTCAAGCTGCAGCAAAGGGCGGCAAGCCGCAAGTTATGGTTAAGTATTATTACTCATTGTACTGAGCTAGCATTTCACTCCTTGCTATATGTTTTCACAGAGAACTCAGGTGACCTTGGAGAAGATTTCATTAATTAGGGAGTATGAATTGATAGTATCTGGTAAGCCTCGCAACGCGTGAAAAAAGACTTATTAAACTGCTATGGTGTAGTCGGTTCTTTACAAACTCTTAGAGTCGCTTCATTTGTCATTCTTTTCGTTCGAGTCATGAATGTTCCTTCGTATTGTAGTCAAGTGGCTAGTTTTGAACCTCTTTTTTCGTATTTGGAGATGAATTGGTATTATTGCGTGACAATTAGATCATTGATTGATATTATGTCTTAATTTGTAGTTGTTATTAGTTGTGTTGTTCGAGACAGAAAATTTAGTTGTTGACACCCAATTACTTTAACCATTTTTAGGAATACTATTCGATTAAATACGTATTTTAAATTTTATTTAAAGTTTAGGATTTTTAGTCGATTTTGCTTGAAAATTATATATTTTAGTATGTTTTACTTTATAAAATTATCGTAAATATTACTAAAATATTTTACAATTATTAATGAAAATGTTTAAAGATTTAAATGGTTTCAATTACATAAAAATATTTTAATGTAGTATTTTAATTAAATAGTAATTCCTACACTTTTCTTAAAATTATCTAAATTCTAGCCTATTCTATCATAATTTCTTCCAATTCTAGCCACTCCACTTCAAATTTTATTCCAATCGTAGCCACTCTTTCATTTCAATTATAGCCAATTTAATTGCAATTTAACCATTTCATATCTTTCCCGATCTAATTTCAAGGCTTCATCTTTTGATCTCATCCGTCCATCTTTAAAAGAAATCTTAGTTAAATCCTAGTCGTCCATCTAAACTAATCCTATGGTTCAGATTTAATCTACCTATTCTAACTAAAAGAACCTAATGCCTAAAATTTAACTTATTCTTCTCCCTCCCCTTTCATGGCAGCCGCCAACCCCTCTTTCTCCCCATTCTTTTCCGGCAGCCGCCTCCCCTTTCCCTTCTCTCTCCCCGGTGACCCCCCTTCTTCTTCCTTTCTTTCTCCCTCCATTCTTTTCCTATGTCCGACCCTTCCTCTTCTTCCGCTTCCCCTCTCGCCCTCGTCTCCTCGACTCTTCCTCCTCCTTATCGCTGCTCCTCCTACCACTAATGGAGCCAGCGAGCCAGGAGGCAACGCCTCCCCCCCTCCCTCTCTCCATCTTTCCTCTCCCTTTCGTCCTTCTTCTCCTCTTCCTTTCTCTTCTCTTACCCTTTCTCTTCTCCTTTTTGCAGGTACTAGCGCCCCTACCGGCCAGCAACACCGGCAATAGCAGTTGGCAACCACGACGAGCAGCCCTGCACGCAACAACGAGAACAACACCGGACATCAGCTCTAGTCAACGACTTCACCCAACACAGAAGCAATAACAAGAAACCAACAGCTTTGGCGAAGTCCAAACATTGGGCGGATCTCAACAGATCCGTCATTGGTACTTTTAATCAATTATTACTTCGTCTATTCAATTTTTAGTCATTTTCTCAAGTGATTCAGATATCTCGATTTTTTTATATCGCTTTACTATGCTCGTCACAATTTAGGATGCTCGATTGATATGCATCTGTTCATAATTTGTATGCCTGAATTTTGGTGTTGATAATCGTTTAATTTTGCATCTATTTTAAATGGTTAGCACTTACTATGTTCGTTTAAATCTATACGTGAATTTCTAAATCTAAATGTTTGCATATTTTTATGATTTGTTTACTGATCTTTGCATCTTTTACTATCATATGATCAATTGGGCTATAGAGTTTATTTTAGTAAATATATTTGATTTTTGTGCACATGTTAAATTGTAGCGTTTATATTTTATAGACTTGATGTGTGCTCCACTAATTGATTATGTTCACTAATTGAATGGATCCATTGTGCTGACTCGATTACGCATCTTCTTGATTTATATCGAACTTCTTACTTGATTGTATTTGGTAAAAATGTTTTTTTTCTTAAAATTTGATTCCATGCTCTTATTTAAGGAAAATAATATTAATTAATCCCTCCTTCCATTAATATTTGACTTGATTAATTTTTACTTGTTTGTTTATGACAACCTTTTTTTTTCTTATCTTATTGGTGGATATTTGGTAAAATAAATCAATAATTAAATATGATATTGGCTCTTCTTTATTTAAGGAAAGTATATTGTTCTTCCTAATTTTATTGTTACTTGTTTATATTTTGACAATAAGATTTTTATAATTCTAATTTTGGCTCCTTTAAAACAAGGAAAATAACAAATATTAATGGAAGGAGAGATTAATTAATATTATTTTCCTTAAATAAGAGCGTGGAATCAAATTTTAAGAAAAAAAAATATTTTATCAAATACAACCAAGTAAGAAGTTCGATATAAACCAAGAAGATGCGTAATCGAGTCTACACAATGGATCCATTCAATTAGTGAACATAATCAATTAGTGGAGCACACATCAAGTCTATAAAATATAATCGCTACAATTTAACATGTGCACAAAAATCAAATATATTTACTAAAATAAACTCTATAGCCCAATTGATCATATGATAGTAAAATATGCCAAGATCAGTAAACAAATCATAAAAATATGCAAACATTTAGATTTAGAAATTCTCGGACAAATTTAAACGAACACAGTAAGTGCTAACCAGTTAAATAGATGCAAAACAAAACGATTATCAACACCAAAATTCAGGCATACATATAATGAACAGATGCATATCATTCGAGCATCCTAAATTGTGACGAGCATAGTAAAGTGATATAAAAAAATAATTGAGATATCTGAATCACTTGAGAAAATGACTAAAAATTGAATAGACGAAGTAATAATTGATTAAAAGTACTAATGACGGATATGTTGAGATCCGTTCAATGTTTGGACTTCACCAAAGCTGTTGGTTTCTTGTTATTGTTGATGTGTTGGGTGAAGTCGTTGACTAGAGCTGATGTCCGGTGTTGTTCTCGCTATTGCATGCAGGGCTGCTCGTCGTGGTTGACGGCTGCTATTGCCGGTGTTGCTGGCCGGTGGGGGCGCTGGTACCTGCAAAAAGGAGAAGAGAAAGGGTAAGAGGAAGGGAAAGAGAAGAGACAGGAAGAGGAGAAGAGGGACGAAAGGGAGAGGAAGGCTGAAGAGAGGGAGGGGAGGCGTCGCCTCCTAGCTCGCTGGCTCCATTAGTGGTAGGAGGAGCATCAATGAGGAGGAGGAAGAGCCTAGGAGACGGGGGTGAGAGGGGCAGTGAAAGAAGAGGAAGGGGCGGACATAGGAAAAGAATGGAGGGAGAAAGAAAGGAAGAAAAAGGGGGGTCACCGGGGAGAGAGAAGGGAAAGGGGAGGCGGCTGCCGGAAAAGAATGGGGAGAAAGAGGGGCTGGCGGCTGCCAAGGAAGGGGAGGGAGAAGAATAAGTTAAATTTTAGGCATTAGGTTCTTTTAGTTAGAATAGGTAGATTAAATCTGAACCATAGGATTAGTTTAGATGGACGACTAGGATTTAACTAAGATTTCTTTAAAAGATGGACGGATGAGATCAAAAGATAAAGTCTTGAAATTAGATTGGGAAAGATACGAAATGGCTAAAATTGCAATTAAATTGACTAGAATTTGAAATGAAAGAGTGACTACGATTGGAATAAAATTTGAAGTGGAGTGGCTAGAATTGGAAGACATTATGATAGAACAGGCTAGAATTTAAATAATTTTAAAGAAAGTGTAGGAATTACTATTTAATTAAATACTACATTAAAATATTTTTATGTAATTGAAAATCATTTAAATCTTCAAACATTTGAAATTCATTAATAATTGTAAAATAGTTTAGTAATATTTATGATAATTTTATAAAGTAAAACATGCTAAAATATATAATTTTCAAGCAAAATCAACTAAAAATTTTAAACTTTAAATAAAATTTAAAATACGTATTTAATCGAATAGTATTCCGAAAAATGGTTAAAGGTCGGTCAAAATTGGGTGTCAACATTAGGATAGGCCCAAAATGAAAGAAAATTATGCCCGATTTTCTATAGAATTCTGGTAAGGCTTGCTTTGAGATTCTCCCCCTTAGCGCCATTCATTATCCTTCATCGGGTCGTGACAGTTTAAGCATTTGCTTGATGCATCTATGGATACTTTGGTTTTAATGGTTAGGTTAAAAGATTCGTAAGCTGTACGACATTTTTCTACATTTGCGAAACAATATAATTCATGTTGGTACGTCTAACAAACTTCATTTTCGACCATTCACTTTAATATCCTCTAATTGATCATAACTAAAAGTTGTTACATCTTTGGATTTTGTATGATCTCTTGCATAATTAAAAATATTTATCATTAACGAGTATATGTTGTTGAAGGAAGTTGATGGAACAGATCGATGGATCATGTTCGGTGAATCTGTCTGACGAGTTAGAGTTTGAGTTACACTAGGACTAAACTACTCAATCCTAATTTATGTACAAGTCTATACTTTGTACGACTTAAGCTGATGTAGTTGATTAGGATAATGTGTACATAATATATTTGTGTTGTATTAGGATTGCTAGTGTAGCTAGTATAGGACACTTCTCCTATATAAGGAGTATGTAACTCAATCATTCAATTAACAATACAATTCTTGATGCTTCACATATTTGTGAGAATTCTACATGGTATCAGAGCAATAAAGTTTTTCTGCTCTTTAGCGTATTAGATCTAACAAAAAACAATCAATTATCAAATCACAATGGCTCATTCTACCAACACTTTTCGACCTCTTCACTTCATCACCTAATTTCGTCCTGCTCCATTAAACTTAAGCCGACTAAGAAAACTGTAGCAAGCGAGAAGGGTGCAGAAGACATCAACATTGTTGATGACTGGGAGGAGAAGGATGTGTTACTAAGGAGTTAGATACCAGGAATCTTGACAAAAAAAAACATGTACCTGATCGTAGGCTGCTCAACTGCCGAGGAGATGTGGGAATGCTTGGAAGAAGAATATCTTCAAGTAACAAAAGATAAGGAGTCCAACTCAAGCAACAACTGCAAAGTGTGAAGCTAGGAACCAAACCAATTGATGAATATATTAAGGAATTCAAAGGCATATGTGATGGCCTTGTAGCCATTCACAAGCCTGTAAATGAGGACAACAAAGTGATTTATTTTGCTAGAGGTCTAGGTCTTAAGTACAAGACATTCAGAAAGACACCATATCCTACTTTTAATCAATTTATTTATGCTCTTAGGGGTTTT